ACTGATGTAGTACAGCCCGTAGGTATTAGATTAAGCACTTAAACAATAGAACATAGAAGAATATAAGAGACCGAGGAGACGAAATATAGATCGAAGTGACGAGATAAAGGGCAGAAACAGTAGAACAAAGAAGAATGTCGGAGGTCGAGGAGACGAAAATATAGATCGTAGGGACGAAAGAAAGGACCGAAATCCGAGAAGGAAGGACAGAAATCACATAGTTTTAAGAGAAGGTTTACTCAATATCCAAATCTGAATTTTAAAGAACTACATGGGGGTATTTATAGCAAACTAAAACCTAGACATAATAGGATAAAAATCCCTTGCTTAAACAGAAATCCTAACCCAAATAAAATAGGAAACTTAAAACTAGAAATCTGGAAATCTGGAAAAGTAGAAATCCTACTAGAATTGGGAAAACTAGAGAATCTAGGAAACTAACAAATACATTAGGAAACTAATAAATTTAGGTCATATGCGTCCTGCATCAGAAAGACACACAATGAAAGACCCAGACAGCAAAATTCCTAAACACCATCTTTAGCTTTATACAAATTCTACCTCCAAGACTACCCTCTTTCTTATTTCTTCTGTCTTCTATGCAGCACTCCACCTGAACACGAGAGAACCATCTAGCTCAAACATACAAGCAAAAACCCATCACTCACTCGACCCAAACAAACATTCATTTGTCTATATCTTTGATTTTTTGATTACCCTTTCAAGTACCTAACCTAAACTTCAGTCAAGGCAGTACACAGTCCTGATTCAACATGATTCACAATGCATGTGGAGAGGAACCTTGATGCATTCTCTCCACACATACCACCTTACAACATCATCTACACACTATCAAACATGCACATGGTTCTAATCTACTTCCAATACGTTAAAATCTACTTCCGATATGTTAAAATCTACTACCAATACGTTATCAAAAATCTGCTTCCAATAAGCCATTAAGGCCTCATCAAGAAGTTCACAAAAATCTACCATACTTTTTGTTCATTTTTTGAAGACCAATTACCACTAAAAGAAGTATTAAGTATGCTTGGAGATAACAAGGAAGTCCCAACACATTCACCTCCTCTAAAAGTACACCCTACAACCTTATTCTTGTACTTCTGACCTCACAAATACTAAACCCTGAAAAACCATGCCCAATTGAATAGGGCTTTGGCACCACTTGTTATAAAAAAATAAAAAGATTAAGGAGAGGCACATATGCATCCAATATCAAGATCAATCACAAATACTAAGGAAATAAAATCTAATGTGGCGCAATGAAACTCCATCTACATACATAGTCCATAGGCAAAATGGATTATTCACTATCTAAAACCATAAAGATATAAAAATACGTACCAGAACATAAACACCAAATTCAATACCAAGCCTCAAACTATCCCCATTTCATTGCTTCCTGATGTCCCAAGCTATAGGACAAATTATGCCCCTTTGCTTCCCAAGATCTAGCCAAAAACCTCTCACTTGAAACATGAATGTAACAGGTAGTCATCTCATCTAAAAGAAATATATTTAACATATACATACTCTCTCAATGTACAGGAACAGGGAAACCAAATCTACCATGGAGGAAGACTTGTTTAGCAAACGTTTAGTCTCCCCACTACCCTCTCTGGTGATCAATAGTTATACCTTTCTCTTTGTAAAGCAAACACAAATACAACTGGGGTGATTGAAAAAACAAAAACAAAAACCCTTAGCATTTTGATAGCATATGTGACAACAAATATATATTTGTTTTACGTTCAAAAACTAGCATCAAATAGTCAAAACACTATGATGCATCAATGTTGCATCCTAAGGTACTTTCGAAAGCATTTTCTCCACTTGAGTTAAGCCACAGTAGCCATTGTACATGGAAAATGAAAAGGACAAGAATTTATTTGACACTACCCCAAAAAAAAAAAAGTATGCATTTCCGACTTCTCAATATTTATCTGGATGAAAACTGTAATATATGCAATGTACACAAGCATTAGGCTTATACAATTAGCTACATTGAAATTGATCCAGAAAGAAGTTCCGGCAAAGTTCTACCCATCATGTGAACTTGGTGAAGCAGTATGCAAGAAAATCTACAAGTTGCACAAAATTAAGAAATTCAAAATATCGCTGACATATTGCATCTGTAAAGCACCACTCTTACATTCCTGTTTCTGTAAATCAAGATTCAAGAGAGATCATGCATAGATAGAAACCCATTCATGAAAAACACAATCTTACAACTGCAAAACCAAGAGATGCATTGTATACTCTAATCAACATGCATGGGTTCCGGGCCCCCACTTGCATCCTCCATTCCGTGTTTGTGCTCTTTCTCCTCAATCAAACTCTTCTGCTCTTCCTCTATGGTGTTCTGCAACTCATCCACCTGCAAAAACATCAAATACAACCAAAATTAAATCTAATTTCAAAAGGGTTCTACTGCTTAACGCAGGCAACATAATCGAAAATTGGGGAATTTAACAGAGCTGCATACCACATGCAACAGCAGAGCAAACTGCTTCTTTCGGAGCTCCAGCATCCTTGAACTTGCCGTATTCTCGGCGTCCAAAGCGGCAATCTCTTTCTC